ATCAACGGATTTCATTTCAAACCCGCTTCATGGAGCTGCACACTAAATCTGACGCATTTTCAGCTACTTTTAAAATCTGTTCTATAAGAGGAGGTGGTAAGCCCTATATAGCAATGTTAATTTTGTCATATTAAGACACTTTTATAAACACGGTACACATGAAGTTGTCGGATTTCTGTCCCTACCGACTTTTCTCATAGTAATATATCTGTAAACAAATTTTTATGTTTTATAAAAGACTAATATTTTTCAATATTTTTCATGGTGAAACATTAATAATTTTACAACTTCATGTTTTAGAATCGTAGAAACATTTGAAGTTTCATCTATCCGTATAATTTTTGATATAATTTTATGCTTTCATTAAATAGTTTCTGAAAAATGTACCATTGTCTATCAAACCCAAGCTGTGGGAGATCACAATGTAAAAATTATCATAAATCAGTTTATAAGTAAATTATTATAAAAAAGGCAGTCGATACAGAAACAGTTTTTCAGGAAAATTCACCTTAAATTGACCAAAGTAATATTGTAGAGATGACAGAAATCGGACACCACTTCTGAAATCCTACAGGCTATTATTTCTATTAACGACTTTTAATTTTTTGTACACGTGTCTTATTTTATATGCAAAGGCATTATTACGGTAGTATCAGGTGTGTATGTGCGTCCGATGTATTTACTTTTAAACCAATTCACATATTTTCAAGCAACTCGATAGATTGCAAAACAACATGGAAGGCAAGCGAGATCAAATTCCACTTTCTACCTGATGGCTGAAATCATCGAATGCGATTCTGTATTTAAATAAATTTTATACATGAACCGAAAAGTTCTGAATGAAATATTACTTTATATGTTACCATAACAAAAATGGTGACGGTAAGAAACTTTAAAACGTGCAGTAAATGAAAATGATAAACCTCAAATAGAACGTTATTATTAGAACCCACGATCCCAGTGTTAGAGTACTGTATTCTTCATAATAAATTACCATGGATGTATTCTGATACTCGTGTAGAGAATATCTGGATTAAAGAGAGAAAATTACAATAAAAAGCTCCATAAATAGAATTATTCATTAAATAGTTGGGTGATCAATTCCAGGAAGATGAGAAGGTTAGGTACATATAACACGCAGCATGGGCGACGAGAAATTAAAAGTCCAGAAAGAAAGGTACGTAAGTGTAGAGGAGAGGATAAAATAAAATTGGATCTTCAAGAATTAGAGTGTGAAGGCGCGTACTGGATTCATGGACATGAACAAATGACGGGCTTCTGTAAACACGTCAAGTTTAAAAAAAGCGGGAGATTTCTTCACTAGCTGACTAATCAGATTTTGAAGGACTGTTCTTTATGTACTTAATTACTTAGCATAAAATACAAAATAACATGCGCATGTACAATGTGCCGTTTGTTTTGAGAGTGGATCACAAATCTTAGTCGTAGAGAGTCGCCTAGGCTTATTCTGAGAACAGTCACCACAATATCAGCAGCGGTTATGCTACTGACGCGACAGGACAACTTTCAGTGGTACTGAGACAACGAAATTCTAGGGAGAATCATCACGCCATATACCAATGACAGTAACACATAGGCAGCCTTCGAATTATTCTCCTGAAAAGTTCGGTTACCCGTTGTAAGCATCGGAAGGCGAGCTTAGGATTCATCTCACCATCATTAAATTGAAAAAATCACATGATTCTGAATACTGAATACCTAGCAGGTAGGCCTAGTTCAAGATGTGTCAATTACTAAGAAACATGTTAAGAATTAGCGTAATAATCGGTGAATGGGTTTATAGACGTTATTTGTAATAAGTACACAAAATTAATGTATAAAGAATAGGCCATGTCTGTCCGTCAGATACATTTCATATCCGAAGCCACTGAATCCGAACCTCTGTATGGCACAGGGTCTGCTTGAGCATTTTATAGCTATTCACCTACTCTCACATGGTCTAAATCAGCAACTGAAACTTGTAGTTTGATGGCCCCTATAATATGAAAGCGCATAAAACATTAAGAGTCACAGTCAAACGAAGAAATTCCTTGCTTTTATAAAACTCCAATATAATTAAATAGGCCTATAGTGTTCACAAAAATCAGGCACTGGACAAACATATGAGCCAATCTGAACCCCTAAAAACAATTTATATTACGGCTACATATATGTACGTCTCATAAAACGTTTTCCGATCAATATTTTATGTGTATTTTTCATCTTCCTATTCACTATAAAGCACTAACCTGCTCGCTAAGTGCATGATTCAGATATATACAATATCGAGACTCCGACAAATGATTACCATGAAATTTACAGTTCGAGTATTATTCCGCTAGCAGCAATGGCTGTTAAGATAGATGACACGACCAGCAGTTCGTGGGCTGCGACATTCATCGAGCGAGGTAAAAACTTCTATGCAAAATAAACATAACTTTAACTCTATATAACATAGAAATGCACAATATTCCGTGATAAGCTATAGGATACCGCTCCCTGTCGCATACTAGCATCTTAAAGAAGCGTGATTTCAGATGTGCCTGGGGCGGATGCTCTAAGAGGATCATTACTTACCCTCCACAGCCTGGGTCGTGTGGCGTTCATCCCAGTCGTCATTACAGAGGATTTGCAGAGAGGAGCTGTGCTCAAGTGGCAGCGGTCCTGCAGTTAGGGTTTGTTCACAATTCATAACCTGGTCCAAACATGTTTCCTCTAATCTCACTTATATTCCGCAAGTTTAAGGCCCCCTTCACATTTCCTAGAAAGATGACAAGAAAAGACCCGGTCCGGCATTTGGCAGACAGGGCTAGAAACCAGGCCGGCAATTTTGACTTTTAGTCGATGAAAGAACGTCTTCTCAACAGAAAACATTATCCCGATAAAATGAAGTTGAATCATGAATGGCGGCCATACCGTAATTGAATGTACTATCGCAGCTTTTCATGGCGTGTATTCTGGTAGAAGTTTACCAAAGTTTAAGAGGTCTTTGCTGCTTCCATCATCAGACAACCCAGAGGACAGCCAGCCATCTTTGACTTCACCGTCTTGAAAGCCTCAAATACAACTTTGAAAGACAAATGTTTCCCAATATTCAGGAACACCACAACAAAGTTTATTTTTAAAAGTAACGCCCGTCAGATGTCCATCAATTTTGATACACTGATGCACTCGGTCCACAAGCTGACAGATCAGGCGAACGGACTGCCCGAGAAATGTTGACATGCCGAAAAATTAATCGATGTTCAAACACAGTCCTCAAAATCTTCATCGACTGACGAGCGGTAAATTTCTGAATAAATTAATGCCATATCACCAGTAAGTGTTATGAATCGAGTGCATCAATCTTAATGGACGGGTGTTTTTAAGAAGTAACTGCTATAACATTCCTCTAAAATGGCAGTTGTATTTCAATCCACACTACTTTAAATAAATAAATAAATCTGAATAAAGTGCGGTATACTAGTGTATCTTAAAAAACGACGAATGAACATAATGCCGTTTTCATGTTTCAACAATTACAAACACTCAAAGACGCGAAATTCTGAAGCTGGACCTATATTAGAGAGAATTAACATATCCGAAAACTGTAGCAGCGGACATTAAGCACCAAATCCGAACAACAGACTGTGGAATTTTAAATTATAATAGCCATCTCATGCAGGTTTAAAAATCCGAAGGGAGGCAGGCTTTCGGTGTTGTTTCTAAAACTATTTCTTTCTTTCTTAACACAAAACTGAAGTAACCTATTTTATTTTTATTTGATTTGATTTTAAAGAATTGTGTTTACATACTGATGCACACACATAACCATTATTTTGGTCTTCTTTCCTCTCCTCCTCGCCGCTTCCACACACTGACTTTTATAGTATGGAAACCAGAACCCAAATTGACTGTCATGAAATAGGATGTTAATGTACCGCTCACCCTGAATGCTACGGAACAGTATTTGGGATTGGAACAGCATCGATTTTTCGGTCGATACACTGACAAAAATGACTAATTAAATGTAGTGCGAAGCCGTTATATGCTATTTACAGGGACATTATACACTGACATCAATTAGCGTAGAATCTGTAATGATAACAACGCAGTGGCCAAAAATACGTCTTTCCACGGTAAATGTACCCTGTAATCCAGGGGTATGGAACATGTAACCCGTCAGACTCGCCATAGTGCCTACAAGTTTAAATTCACGATCTAACTACGAGCTATTAAGTCACTCAATCAGTCAACAAATTTCCTGCATTCAATAGAACTCGAATGTTCTTTACGTGTTTACAAGACTGTGCCACTTACCATTATCCCGAGCCAGTTGTATCCAATCCACAACCAACCACCCTAGTTCCTTAAAATTAATTTTAATATTAGAATAAGATCTACGACTAGATCATCCAAGTCGTCTTTTCCTTCAGATTTTCGGACCTCTAACGCCCAAAAATTAAAACGTTACACCGCGATATACATTCAATTACAAAGTCTATGTACCATCAAACGATCACGACTTTCATGTCCTCTAGTATCAGAAAGGAGACTGTCGTGGCGGGTATATAAAGCCAACCATTCCAACGTAGACACTAGAATCTGAAAGAAACGTTTTTGCGCCGTGTAGTCTAGTAGCCGTTCACCGGCGCATCACCCTGATGATAGAGTCGGCAAAAACCTCCGAAACTTCGATAAACTTTCATAAGAGTATACGGCGCAACAATCCGGAAGGCGGCCATCGTCACGCCAAAAGAATATAAAATCTCACAGTCCTAAATCTGCTAAAGAGGGATGAAAAATGCCGTTCTCTGTTTACCCAAACTGTCTCCATTATTATGACGCAGGTCGCCCAAAAGCACTATAGAAAGGACTCATGTTTTATTGCGCTCACCCAAATGGGCAGCAGTAGCTGCGACACACGTTTGAAGAAGCAGAGGGGAAACTACGAAAATCTTCAGTCAGGACAGACTGAGGCTCAAGGGGATAAGCAGGAACACTATGACGAAGGAACTTACTTTGGAGCGTCCTTCCACATGTTTGCCGTTGTTGAGCTGGATCCAGGCGTCCCAGCGGTGACGGTACAACGTGAGGCGATTCCATTGGTTCAGCAACACAGTCTCTTCAGAACGAACCACTCCAAGCCCCGATCCACAGTCAAACCTGCAACAAATGCATTGACCACTCTTCAATTCAAGTCGGAAGAATGGAAGGATATTTAATTAACATTTCCGACGATGCTATTTATTTAAATAAACCTTTTCCTTTTGTAAATATTTCCATGGTAACGTGTACCTTATATTGTTTGAAAATTCACAAACATGGATTTCCCCTTTAAGGAAATAGTGGGAATGGTTGTAAGAAAATATGATCTTGGGGTTTCCTCTTTTTTAATAAAAAGACCTTGCAATTTGATATCAGTACTTGAATTAACAAAATAAATATAAACAAGAATATAAAATATATTCTTTCAGAATTAGGATTTTTTCAAAAAAAAGTTTCTTAAAATTTTATAATTTTACACCAGAAGTATGAAATGCCGAACTACCAACGCAAAAATAAAATCATTTTACATTCGTTGTGTGTGTTATCCAGTTAAATGAATTGTACTTAAAAGCTATACAAGTAATTAAAGAATTTCGGAGTATGTAAATTAAAATAAAAACAATACTGCAACCCAGAAACTTGGTATTTTACGGACTGAAGAAACCGCGAATATATTCTCGAGATATTCAGAAATAGTTTGGTAAAGTTTAAGCGCATGGTGGTGTTCCCTAAAATTAGAAGACTCTGGGAAGCTACCAACTGTTCCCACTTGGTGGCGAAACACGTTTCTTTCACCGATGTTGTGATACGAGGTGCGATCGGAAAGTTTCAAGACTGCGCCTATAAAAACCCGTACAC